CCTGACAAAGATAAACTTAGATCTTTACTGAGCCCATTTGCCTTTTTGCCTCTAAGATAACATATCTGTGAGATGTCTGGGTAACTTGTAACTTCCTTCTTACCTGACCCCCCTCCCCCGCCTCCCCCTCTAACTCTTTGGGCACAACAAATAGCACCAGGACATTTCCTCATTGTTATTGTTATCAAGTTAATTGCCAACTGTTAATTATGTCAAACTATCCTGTATCCATCTATGTAAAAGAAGCACATGTCCATAATTTCACTTTTTACCCTATCCCAGAGGTTTCCCCACTTTGTTTTATCTCACATCCTAATCTATCACCAATGAATTTCATGTAACTCACCTACATCGCTTTCTTTTGATTGCAATGTAAAAATACAGATATAACCTGCCATTCTCCTGAGCTCTATCTCAATTCATTGAGGTTCTGCTTCCAGGCATATGTTGACAGTTTGGCTCAAATAAACTCACAAAAATTCATTATAAGTCTGAATTCTTTTTAAGTTAACATAATGCAGTCTCTTTGATAAAAAATAAGGGTGGTTTTAGGGAAAAATATGTTTCAATGGAAATCACAATGCGTAGTTGTGAATATTGGACTCTTATGCAGTTGATTTTCTTTAAAGTTTTATTTTCACCTATAAACTGAATTGATTTCTGAATTCTTCTAGGTGTATTTAACCTTCCAAGCTAATGTTTAATTTTTTTCTCCCATGCTTTAACTTCGAATTATGAAAAACTAATGACAAGAGAGAGGAGTTCAAAGATGTCTGCCAACAGGAAGCCAGACTGCAAGATAGTGCATGAGTGAGAGAACAAAGGGAGAATGTGTGGTAGCAATGGGGAGTGTTTGTGAGTTGAGGGACAATTATACTCCAGGGGACTGTGGGGAATTGCCAGACAGGGTTGCTTTGACCAGGCAGCCTCCGCTGTTGCTGGGATCCCTCCTGGAGTGACCAGCTCTGACGCGGAGATCACTCCTTCTTGAAGGGGAGAGTGGATGTTGTCCTAAGTCTGAAAGTCCTGGGAACCTACAACAATGGCAGCTGAGAACCTGGGAACACTGATCCCCAAGTGGTGTGAACACGCGGATTCAGAGGAACTCTGCATCTCCTCATGGAAAGGTCAGGTCTGTAGTTTGTGCAGGATGGAGAAATGTGCACCGCAGGAGCTGGAGGACCCTGGAAAGTCTAAGCCCAGAAAAATCCGCAGCCTTTGGGGCTGGCCTGATCTGCGAATGTGGAAGGGGATCCACAGGGCTGCTAACAGAAGGGAACTCTAAGAAGCAACCCATAGCTAAACTGGGCACAAAAGGGCAGCCTAAATATTTTAACAGTGTGCCTGCTGCTTAGACCCAAGGGGATAAAAGATTGCACAGACTTACTTCGCAGCATTGAAGTTCGTGCACTTACTCTGGCTCTTCTCTCTCTCTCTCTCTCTCTCTCTCTCTCTCTCTCTCTCTCTCTCTCTCTCTCTCTCTCTCTCTCTCTCTTCCTCTTTAAATCCTTGCTTTTGATTACTAAGCCCAATACACGAGATCACCCAATGGGGGGCACACTAAGAGACTGCAGGGGAAAGTTGTTTTTGTGGAACCCGGGGATCTGAGCGGGGAATAACAATCAGAGAACCAGCTCTGGGGCAGCCCATTCCCTCAAACCTTAATAAATGCCACAGGGAAAACAAAATCTAAACACTAGCTAGAGAGGATCTATAAACTTGGAGGTCAATCCAGAAACACTATCACCCAAGGGTTAAATCATAAATTGACTCTTGTGTAAAGACAAATAAAGGAATATAAGAAACAAAGAAGTACTACCTGCTTGAAAATCAGGACTGTGGCCTAATGAGGAGCAGCCAAACATAGGGAATACTGTGCTGACCAGAAAACAGGTGTGCCAAACAGAATAGTAGAGGAAGTGAATGACCTTCACTACTGCAGATTTTTATTTATTTTTTTCATATTTTAATTAAAGAACTATTTTTTAAATTTTTTTCAATTGATTTTACATTTTTAATTATTATATTTACATTTTTAATCAGTATTATTACTACTATTTTTTACCTTTTTTAAAAAGTGTCATTTTATTTTCTCTTTATTTTATTTTCTCTTTATTTTATTTTGGGATTAATCTTTTGCATTCTATTTTCATCTTTCCTTTAGCATCATTTTACTCTATCTCAACTTTACCTTTATGCCAACATTCTCTTCCTCATTTTCCCCTTCTGTTATCCTGTTTCTCTTACCCTATTCCAGCTTCAGATTTTCCCTATTCCTTCTTTTTATCTTCTGTTAAAATGTCATCCTACTTATATATCTAATTTCCAAGTCCCTGCTCCAAGTCCATATACAACTCTCTCTTCTCTTTCTTCACTATCCATGTTATTTTTCTCTGTCCTTTTGTTGTTGTTGTTTGTTTAATTATTGATTATATTGTTTTTTATGCTTGTTTATGAGATTGTTTCACTTTTGTTTTACTTCTGTTTTCTGACACCTCGCTTGATATTAGTTGTAGTTTGTAGTTTGCATTCATCTCTAGATATGTGTTGTTGGTATTTGAAGGGATTAGTGTAAGGTGACCAGATCATCCCACTTTTGGTGGGACAGTCCCGATTTTAAACAATTTAGGCTGAAACCAGGAGCTTCACAGATAAAAAAGGACTAAGGGAGTTTATTACCACCAAGCTAGCAATGCAAGAAATGCTAAAGGGTCTGCTGTAAAAAGAAGAAATAGGAAGCGAAGAAGGGGTATAGAGTAAAAATGGAAACAACTGAGTAACTATCAATAGTAACTTTAAATTAAGTGGATTAAATGCCCCAATCAAAATACATAGGGTAACTGAGTGGATAAGAAAACATGACCCATATATCTGCTATCTACAGCAAAGCCACCACAGGAAAAAAAGACGCATACAGACTGATGGTGAAGGGATGGAAAAACGTTTTTTCAGGAAATGGAAATTAAACAAAAAGCTGGGATAGCAATACTTATGTCTGACAAATTAGATCTCAAAGTGAAAGACATAAAAAGAAATAAGGAAGGCCACTTCATAATATTAAAGGTAGCAATCTAACAAGAAGAAATAATTTTGGTAAACATATATGCACCCAATACAGGAGCACCCAAAAACATAAAGAAAACTCCTGGAGGATATCAAGGGAGAGATTGACAGCAGTATAATCATAGTAGGGGACTTTAATAAACCACTATCACCATTGGACAAATTCTTTAAACAAAAAACTCAGCAAAGAAACATCAATCCTAAATGACTCACTAGACCAGATGAAATTAATTGATATCTTCAGAACATTACACCCCAAAGCCACAGAATATACATTCTTCTCAAGTGCACATGAGTCATTTTCAAAGATAGGCCACATATTGGGTCACAGGTAAAGTATCTTCAAATTCAAGAAGATAGAAATCATATCAAGCATCTTCTCAAATCACAATGGCATAAAACTAGAGATCAACTACAATAAAAACAATCCCCCCTAAAAAATCAAACACATGGAGACTAACTAGCATGCTATTAAACAGTGACTGGGTATCCAGAGATATCAAAGAAGAAATTAAAAAAAAACATCATGGCAACAAATGACAATGAAAACACAACAATCCAAAATCTATGGGACACAATGAAAGCAGTTCTGAGAGAAAAGTTTCTAGCTCTACATGCCTACAGCAAAAAACAAGAAACAATGGTAATAAATTGCCTAACTCTACAACTCAAATTGTTAGAAAGAGAGAAGCAAGAGATGCCCAGTATAAGCAGAAGGAAAGAAATAATAAAGATAAGACCGGAGATAAAAACATAGAGACAAAAAAAAGAAAAAAGAAAAGATCAACTAAACCAAGAGCTGGTTCTTTAAGAGGATAAACAAGATTGATAAACTTCTAGCCAGGCTCATCAAGAAGCAAAGAGAGAGGACCCAAATAAACAAAATCAGAAATGAAAGAGGAGAAATAACAACAGACCCCACAGAAATACAAAGGATTGTTAAAAAATACTATGAAAACCTCTATTCTAACAACCTGGACAACCTGGAGGAAATGGACATATTCCTAGAAAAATACCACCTTTCAAAACTCAGTCAGGAAGATTCTAAAAATCTCAATGGGCCAATAACTATGGAAGAAATTGAAGTCATCAAAAGCTTCCTGCAAACAAAAGCCCAGGATCAGTTGGCTTCACAGGGGAGTTTTACCATACATTCAAGGAAGAACTAAAACCTACCCTCCTCAGACTATTCCAAAAAATTCAAGAGGAAGGAACACTTTCAAGCTCATTCTATGAAACCACTATTACCCTAATACCCAAACCAGATAAAGACAACAAAATGAAAGAGAATTATAGGCCAATATACCTCATGAACATAGATGCCAAAATCCTCAACAAATTTCTAGCAAATCAGATTCAGTAGTACATTAGAAAGATCATACACCATGACCAAGTAGAATTTATCCCAGGGATGCAAGGATGATACAATATCCGCAAATCAATAAACATGATATATCACAAAAACTAATTGAGAGATAAAAACCACATAGTCATATCAATTGATGCAGAAAAGCATTTGATAAGATCCAACACCCATTTTTGATGAAAACTCTCAGCAAGGTTGAAATAGAAAGATCATACCTCAACATAATAAAAGCAATATATGACAAACCCACAGCCAACATCATACTCAATGGGCAAAAACTAAAACCATTTCCCCTAAGAGCAGGAACAAGACAGGGATGAGAACAGGAACAAGACAGGGATGCCCACTCTCACCACTCCTGTTTGACATAGTACTGGAAGTATTACCCATTGTGATTAGACAACAAGAAGAAATAAAAGGCATCCAAATTGGAAAAGAAAAAGTAAAGCTGTCCTTATTTGCAGATTACATGATATTGTACATAAAAAACCCAAAAGACTCCATCAAAAAACTAATAGACTTGATAAATGAATTCGGCAATGTAGCCATGTAGAAATAAAACAATACTAACCTTAAATACAGCTTCCTCATTTTTCTTGGCCACCCTTATCTCATCAAATGACTCAATCAGTTGATCCTTCTGGGATTCAATGCTGTTGTGGAAAAAAAAGAGAGAGAGTTTTATATGAGCCCCTCTTCTTCCTTTTCTGGGGTTGCTGCCTCTCATAGGACAGACTCTTTCAGATTTTTAGCCATTTTGGCATATAACTTAGTTTTTAGAAAGAATATATTCTAGCCCTTTGGAAAATCCTCTAACAGTACCTGTGAGAAAAGTCTGTTACTTGATTATTCATGACATTTGAGAGAGTGTGGCATTCCCAAATTAGCCCATGAATTTTAGACTCTTAAGTTTATTTCTTGAATCTATAAATAAATAGTTATATACCACCCAGGCTTTAGAGACTCAGTTTCCTCATCTGTAAAATGGAAAGGGGATTGTTGGAAATGAAGAATTCTTAACCTGGAAGACCCATAGCCAAGCATACAAATATAAAATTCCCATAAACTTTCACAAGTTGTATGAAAAATTATATTTGATATATTTTGAATAGAGTGAAGAGCCTTCATTAGATTCCGAAACATATCCTATAATTGAAAGGAGGTTAGATAAGCACTCTTCTAAATGAGCTAATTTAGAACTCTATACTGAGACCCTTTGAAGTAACCTAGAAAAGTGGTTCTCAAAGTATGGTCTATGGAACAGAAGAACTGCATCACTTGAGAACTTGTTAAAAATTCAGGGTATATGTTCTACTCTCAGAAATATAAAATCAAATTTTTAAGTGGAATTCAGAAATCTATGTTATAGCAAACCATTGAGGTGATTCTAATGTACAATAAACTTTGAGAACAACTGACCTAGAACAATCCCATCTTGTTGCTTGGCAGGAAAACCAAGTTTCAGGGAGGAAAAAGATTCACCTAAGGTCATGCAGTAAATCAGAATCTAGGTCTTTTGACTCCTAAGGCAAAACTCACTTCCCTGTAGTGAGTTTTCATAGCTCTGAAATTCTATGGATCTAAGCAAAGGAAAATCACTGAAAGAACTATCAGTAAACACAATAGCTTTGTTCCACAGTTCAAAATACTTCATTGACTTGAATACCTTCTTCCACTTTAGAGCTGCTATGATTAAGGAATGCTTCTATGCCTCAGTGTATTTTTATAGGAGAAATAGAACAAAACTCTGTAATATGGCAAAACTCATTTATTCTGACCTAGTGCATTGCTTTAACTTCCCTTTTGTTGATGCCCATAAAAAAGTAAGTATATTTTTCCATCCTCTTTTTATTTTCTTTTTTAAAATATATTTTATTGATTTTTTGCAGAGAAGAAGGAAGAAGGATGGAGAGCTAGAAACATCAATGAGAGAGAAACATTGATCAGCTACAACCAAGGTACATGCCCTTGACCGGAATCGAACCCGGGACTCTTCAGTCCACAGGTCAACATTTTATCCACTGAGCCAAACTGGTTTTGGTTCCATCCTCTTTTTCTTTGACTGACAGTATCAGCTCTGAAATCAGGTGATACAATTATTGTTGTAAATTAGAGAAAACTTAGACAGACCTAAAGCTATTTTGATGGATCAATGATGAAAACATCAATCTCATGATACACATTCCATGAAAAGCATCACAGAACAAGAACTAAAATAAGACACATACCAATTTTATAAAATGTTCCCTTCTAGATACGATTTAGTTTTTATCCAGTGTGATATTAGAAGAAAAAATAGTCTTAAGCTGAGAGCTGAGGGCCTCAATTTTACTTCCTGACCAATAGGATTATAGCTATCCTACAAGGCTTTTAGGATACTTTCAAGGTCAATTGTGGAAACCGATATGAAGGTGCTTTAGACATAGCTTAAAAATATAGAAGCATAAAATTTAGTTCTCTCTCACGGTATGCCTCTTATGCGTTTCCGTTTGTTCCAAAATATCATATAATAATTCCTACTGTTCAAAAATCCTGAAGAGCCCTTGCTGGTTTTGCTCAGCAGATAGAGCATTTGCCTGAGGACTGAAGAGTTCCAGGTTCAATTCTAGTCCAGGGCACATGACAGGGTTGTGGGTTCAATCTCCACTAGGGCACATGCAGAAGGCAGCCAAAGATTCTTTCCCATCATTGATGTTTCTATCTCTCCTTCTCCCTTCCTATATATGAAAAAAATAATATATATATATTTTAAATCCTGAGGAAATAACAACCGATCCCACAGAAATACAAACAATTATGAAAAAATACCATGAACAATTCTATTTCAACAAAATGGACAACCTAGATGAAATGGACATATTCCTAAAAACATACAAGCTCCCAAAACTCAACCAAGAAGAATTAAAAAAGCCTGAATAGAGGCTTATAACTACCAAAGAAATTGAAAGTAGTGATAAGAAATATCTTCCAGCAAACAAAAGCCCTAGTCTGGATGGCTTTGCAGGGCAGTTCTACGAAGTATTCAAAGAAGAACTAAAACCTATCCTCCTCAGATTATTCCAAAAAAGTTCAAGAGGAAGGCATACTTCCAAGCTCTTTCTATGAAGCCAGCATTACCCTAATCCCCAAAACCAGATGAAGATACCACAAAAAAGATAACTACAGGCCAATATCCTTAATGATATATAGACTCTAAAATCCTCTACAAAACTCTAGCAAACCAGATTCAGCACTACATTAGAAAGATCATACACTGTGACCAAGTGGGATTTATTCTGGGCATGCAAGGATGGTACAATATCCTCAAATCAATAAGTGTGATACATCACATGAACAAACTGAGAGACAAAAATCACATAATCATATCAATTGACACAGAAAAAGCATTTGACAAAATCCAACACCCTTTCTTGATAAAAACTCTCAGAAAAGTGGAAATAGAGGGATCATATATCAACATAATAAAAGCCTTATATGACAAACCTACAGCCTACATCATAATGGGCAAAAACTAAACTCATTTCCCCTAAGATCAGGTACAAGGCAAGGATGCCCACTTTCACCTCTCCTGTTTGACATGGTATTAGACATACTAGCCATAGCTATCAGACAAGAAGAAGAAATAAAAAGCATCCAAGTTGGAAAAAAGTAAAACTGTCCATATTTGCAGATGACATACTATACATAGAAAACCCCAAAGACTCCATCAAATAGACCTAATAAATGAATTTGGCAATGTAGCAGGATACAAAATTAATGCCCAAAAATCTATGGCTTTTTATACACTGGCAAAAGGTGGTCCAATGAAGTACTGATGGGATGGTCATAATAATATGGCCACTCAGTGTATATAGATATGATTGGAAATAATAGGGCAGCCAATGGTTGGACAACAACAGGAGTGCTGAATAAACCACCAGACAAAGTCTCATGGATCAGTGCTCAATTCTCAGAGTTTCTCTAGATGAACCAGAAAATTCTACACCTCATAGCTTTAATTTCTTCATTCTTTAAAAAAAAAAAAAAAAAAAAAAGGTAGAATTTCAAGGACTGTGTATGGTATATTTCCTAACACTCCAGCTAGGATGACTCCATGATTGTCTTTCTTCTGAAAAACATGGTGACTTATAGCTGTCATTAAATGTATATAGTGTTATGAAGGAAATGTCAGCCAATCAAGTGCAAAATAGGTTAGGCTTCAGTGAACCATGTAATGTGTAAAATATGGAAAATCTTGATAACTGAAGATTTAAAAAAAACATTTATGTGAAAAAAGAAAATTTATGTGATGAGTAATAGAGCTGTAGTACACCTAGTTCCAGCACAATATCATTGGACTCATACTAATTTTTCAGCCAATGACTATATAATGGGATTTGGGAACTGCTGAGTAAATGCTGCTCCACCCTTGGTGGATTCACTGTTAGCCTCAGCTCCTCTAGGAATCTTCTACTAAGGTAATGAACACCTTATATATTGTATAGATTAGTAAAAGGTACCCCCTTTTGACAGAATCCTTACCCCCTCACCCTCAATGAATGATAAAGTAACTATGAAAGATGTCCCTTCCTCTAGGCATACAATGCTGTGTTGGGCATAGGCATTATCAAGCAAAACATGAGCTGGATTCAGTCCCCATTTTCTGCATGAGTTGTGTCTTACACAAACTACACAACAATAAATGGAGACCTTGTTTGGTGCCTTAACCTTATGTTGACTTCTTTGTTCTCTGAACTTTTATGTGTTATCCACACTACTTATTTATGCCCTCTTAACAAAATCCTCTAGACTTATTCATAATTACGTATGTCTTATCTCAATAGAAGATTGTCAGTTTTTTGAGTGGTCTTATTTTAGACCCTCTCAGTGGCTAACACTAATGTTGAACACAAAAGTAAATATATTCATTGTTCACTTTACAGTGGGGAGGGGAGGAAGATCTGGGGGAGATAATAGATCAATCGAAGGACTTGTGTACATGCATATAAGTACAACCAATGGACATAAAACTTTGGGGAGGGAAGGTATGTATGGGAGGGAGGGAGGGGGGCAAAAAAAATCAATAAAATATATTTAAAAATAATAAATAAATAAATAAATAAATAAATAAATAAATAATGCTTAGTCTTATTCTCAATTGCCTTTGGGCCCTCTCCACTTACCACTCAATATACCTTGATGGCAGGAACACTTTTTTCTTAACTCCTTTCATTTACATGTGGAGGACACTCTGTAAAAGGCACACTCCACCTGAATCTCTTACCCCACCCCTCATTGTGAGAGAGGAAGTTAGCTATCAGATTGGTAAAGAGAATTAATTGCCATGCTTTATTCAAGGACATTCTTTCTTTCAAAGAGTGTATTTTCCCTGAGGGAGAACTCTGAAAATTTAGGATAAATATAATCCAAGAGAGTGTTAACAGTCCATATGGTTGTAGCTATAAACCAATTCTCTGATCTAGTTTATGTCAACAATAAAGCTGGAATGAAGACCTTAAATTGGCACTGTTTCAATAGTTCAGAACTCTTAGAAAAGAGGAGTGTAATTTATTGCTCCCCCTTTAAAACAGTTACTAATTCTAGACAATTATACTTGTTACGAGTTTTCCAAACCACCAACTCAAAGAAACAGAAGCTATTGGATCTCACCTGGCTTCCATTATGATATTACTATTTATGGTCTCTTGTACAGGATCCAGGGCCATGAAGGTGGGTGCTCCGCCAGTGCCATTGAGGGGTATGTAGTCTTTGCCATCCTGCATGTGAAAACAGATGTATCCATCATTTCCAAGGGACAAATATACTAATTTGTATTTGTGATATTCTTTCCTGCCTACATCTGGCTATAAGAACTGCTGACCTTCGTTGGACAGTTCAGAAATTTGCTCTACTTTTCTATTTACCTCAAAGTATTTTCTTAACAACTTAGAGCAATATCTTTTGTGCTAGAGAAGCTGATTAATAAGGATGTATTTACAGACTTGTGCTTTTTATTAAAACATGTTTTATAAAGAATGTTCCCTTCTTCTCTCTTAATTTCCTTTATCCTCTCTTCTTAAATAAATAATCCTACCAGAGAGGAAGGGAGGACAAACAGAGCTTCATAACTCTGTCAGTGTTGGGGAATAGGTTCCTGAAAGATGAGACAGAGGACTGAAGACCAGGACTACAGGTTTTTTTAAAGGAGAAGGAGCCTGCTGGGCTGCCTTGCAAAGGAAGAGAGCACAAGTGCAGGAGTGAAGATGCCCTTTGAAGGGAGGAATAGGAAGGGATGGGGCTTATGGTACTCGGCATGCACTGAATGGTGGTTTCATATAAGGCACATGATTAGGCACTTAGGTACTTAGGAATTGGGGGCTTTGGGTATTTGGCAGGTGCTGATTGGTGGTTGAATGTACAGTCCATATAAGGTGCCTGGTTAGGTGCTCAGGAATGTCCAGGCCGCAGGTGCAGTTTACATTGTCATACTCCATCCATCAGTTGGGGGAAGGGAGGATCTATCAGTTCCCAATTAAAACACTGGTTTGCCTGTTACTCATTGCCTCTAGAGTCATCTGATGACATCATCTGCCCCTTAGCACTCTACAGATAATCCATTATCAAGAACCAAATCCAATGCCGAAACCATTTTGGCTCAGTGGATAGAGTGTCAGTCTGCGGACTGAAGGGTCCCGGGTTTGATTCCAGTCAAGGGCATGTACCTTGATTGTGAGCACATCCCCAGTGGGGTGGTGTGCAGGAGGAAGCTGATCGATGTTTCTAACTCTCTTTCTCTCTCCTTTTCTCTGTAAAACAATCAATAAAATATATTTTTAAAAATCCAAAATGTGATAAAATAATAATAAACACTGCTTATTATGTGGCAGGCACTGTAATAAATGCTTTGCATTTATTTTCTTATTTACTCACCACATCTTATAAAAAAAGATACTATTAGAACCTGATTTTATAAATGTGTAAACTGAGGAATAGAGAGGTTTAGTAATATGCCCAAGGTTACAAAGTTAGTAAGGCCAGGATTCTGTTCCAGATATTTTTTCTTAATCACTGTGTGTTATCATGGTGATGGACTTTTCCACAAGTATCTTCATTTTTGTTCTTGTTGTTTATTTATTTTTTTATTGATTTCATAGAAGAAGAGAGGGGGAGAGAGAGATAAAAACATCAGTGATGAGAGAGAATTATCAATTGTCTGCCTCCTGCAAGCCCCACACTGGGGATCCAGTCTGCAATCCAGGCATGTGCCCTGACTGAGAATCAAACCTCGGCCTCCTGGTTCATAGGTTGACACTCAATTACTAAGCCATGATGTTACCTGTTTTTCTGTCCATTCCCTGCTCATAGTTCTGAGTCTAAGCAACAGTCTTGTCTGTGTATCTTACCTGCCGTTCAACCTGATATAACAAAAATGGAATTAGGAGCTCTGCTTTGGTTCTCATTGCTGAGAAACAGACAGTAAGCTAACTCCAGGAATAAGAAAATCCACCACAATCGAGTGCTGTAATTCTTCAGATCCTAGAAATTCAGGGAAACAGGAGTCTGGAGATCACTCAATATCCTCATTTATGGTTTCAGGTGAGAAATCTGGGCCTTAAAAGAACTTGGGAAGTGAATTTCCCAGAATCACATATGTGCCAAGCTCATATGCTGAGAAACTCTAGAAACCGTGGTTTACCCATATAGTTCCACAAGCTGCTTCTTGACTCATTGAGACTTAGTTGTATACCTAGTCCTATAAAGCAATATGACTAGTTTGTCAATACTTGAATGAATAAATTAATTTTAATCTTAGTGATGGATTTTTGCTGTTGTAGGTATCCATGGTTACAAAAAAAAAGAGAACCCTTTATTGGTCCCTTTTTTTCCTCCAATTTTGTTGAGGTGTAATCGATAAATGTAAATTTTATATATTTAAAATGTAAAACTTAATGATTTAATATATGTGTATATGATAACATAATTACCAAATCAAGAAGTGTTAGCAAGGATGTGGAAAAGGTGGAACTCTCAAATACTATTGGAGATAATGCAGATTGGTGTAATCAATATAGAAAGCAGTACAGAGGGTCCTCAAAAAATTAAAAATGGAACTGCCTAATGACACAGTGATTCTACTACTGAGGATACTGGTATATCTGAAAAAACCTCAAAACAATAATTTGAAAGAATACATGCACCAACATGTTCATTGCAGCACGACCAAAAAAATGAAAGCAACCCATGTACATTAATATACAAGTGGGTAAAAGAGCTATTGTACATGTGTACAATGGAACTAGAGGCCCAGTGCATGAAATTCATGCACAGGGGGCAGTCCTTCAGCCCTGCTTGCAACCTCTAACAATCCAGGACCGCTGGCTTCTAACTGCTTGCCTGCTGGCCTGCTTGATTCCTCCTAACCACTCGCCTGCATGCCTGATAACCCCTGAACATTCTGCCTTCCTGATCACCCCAACTGCTCACCTGCCTGCCTTATCACCCCTAACTGCCTCTGTAGGCCTGATTGCCCATAACTGCCTCTGCCTTCCTGCCTCATTGCCCCTCATATTGCACTTTTATTATTATATATAGTTGCCTTGCTCCAAGTTGTAAGGACCTGCTTGTCACAGAGATAGAAAGTTTTTATTTTTACTCTTGATTATGGCAATTAACTAACACAGATGGTCACCAAGAAGGTGACTTACCAAAGGATGTATATCAAACGGTGCTGTTAAGTCATTTTCTATGAAAGTGTGTATGTTGTGCATTGTACCTGTCTGGGTACATGAAAGAATGAAGTTTCTGTGTGTCTTTGCAATCATATGACCAATCTATGTGAGACCCCAGACCAGTCTGGTTTGGTGCTCATAGAATAATAGAGCTTTATTTTTTTCTTTGCTCCATTGGTGGAGATTTCTTAGAAGTTTCAGGATATGTTCCTTTTAATTTTTCCTTGAAACTTTGACTTATGTCTCTCACCTTTGCTTTCCCTCCATCCCACATCTGCAACAGTAACTTGCCCCAGGCTCACTTCACTCAAGTGTCTAGAAGATCACTCAATGCATCCACCACCAGAACCACGATTCCCAGCATTCCTGGTGCTCCCCATGCTCTTGGCTTCTGCTTCCCACCCGAGGCTCCTTCCCTTCCCTCCCTCCATGTGGCTGGGGCACAAACGTTGGGCTTGTGTTTCCAGGGCGATGCTGCCAGTCCCACCCCATCTACTATGGGCGCTACCATCTTTGTTGTGGAGTGATGATTAATTTACCTATTACTCTTTTATTAGATAGGATATTACTCAGCCATCAAAAAAGAATGAAATTGTACCTTTTGGGACAGCATGGATATACCTGGAGAGTATTATGGTAAGTGACATAAGTCAGACAGAAAGATAAATATATGGCTTTACTTACATAAAAAATCTAAAATGAAAAGTAAATGAGCAAACAAAATAGAAAAAACTCATAGATACAGAAAACAAATTGATGATCATCATATTAGAGGGGGGAGAGGGTTGAAGGCATAGGCGTTAAAGGAGAAGGAATTAAGCTGTACAAATTACTCTATCTTATATAATAAAGCACACTACGCTGTGTCTGACTGATCAGTTAACTTTTGGTTGACCACTCAACCAGTCGCTATGACATGCACTGACCACCAGAGGGCAGACACTCTGACTGGTAAATTAGCTTGCTACTGAGGTCCAGTCAATGGAATTGGGCAAGAGGACCAAACACGCCCTGGAACCCTCCCTTGGTTCCTCCCTAGCTGGCCAGCCAGCCTCCTGTGGTCCCTCCCCAGCTGGCTGGCCCCATAAGCCCCAATTTGGGCTAGGTGAGACTACCCTGATCAGTACAAATCACCAGCCAGGCCAAGGGACCCCACCTGTGCATGAATTCGTGCACTAGAACACTAATATAAAAATAGTCACTGGGACAGCTGTAGCTGGTTTAGCACAGTGGATAGAGTGTTGGCTTGCAGAATGAAGGATCCTGTGTTCAATTCTGGTCAAGGGCACATGCTTGGATTGTTAGCTCAATATCCAGTAGGGGGCATGCAGGAGGATGCCAATCAACGATTCTCTCTCATCGCTGATGTTTTTATCTTTCTCTCCCTCTCCCTATCTCTCTGAAATCAATCCTATCTAATAAAAGAGTAATATTCAAATTAACCATCACTCCACTACACTTACAAGCCATGCCCATCAACCAATCAGGAACAAGTATGTAAATTAATCCAACCAGGATGGCTGTGAACAGGAGGCTTGGCTTACCCCCGGTGATGGAGGAAGCCAAGCTTTCTGCACACCCTGACCAACCCAGGCCTACACTCAAGGCTACAAAGTTTCAATTATAGAAGATAAATAAATGCCAATAAAAATGGCTGTGTCCATGGAGCGAACAGGAGGCTTGGGTTTCCCTGGCTATGGAGGAAGCCAAGCTTTCCATACACCCTGACCATCCAAGGCCTCCACTTAAGGCTTCAAAGTTTCAATAATCGAAGGTAAATAAATTCCAACAAAAATGGCCGTGGCCACAGAGCAAGCAGGAGTCATGGCTGCACTCAAGGCTGCAAAATTTCAATTATAGAAGATAAATAAATCCAATATACCAGAGCCTCCATTTGGGTTGCTGAGGGGTATGGACAGCCTGAAAACCACCACAGGCCCCTCGCCCAGGCTGCCCCATGCCCCAAGGGAATCCCCACCCTGACCTGGGATACCCTTCAGGGAAAACCAGCTGGCTCTCACCCATGAATCAGGCCTCTATCCTATCTAATAAAATAATAATATGAAAATTGACCGTCACTCCAACACACAAGATGGTTGCCCCCATGTGGTCAGAGATTGCTGCCCCCATGTGGACACAAGATGGCTGCCACAAGATGGCCAGCAGGGGAGGGCAGTTGGGAGGGACCAGGCCTGCAAGAAAAGGCAGTTGGGGGCAATCAAGCCTGCAGGGGAGGGCAGTTAGAGGTGACCAGGCCAGCAGAGGAGAGAAGTTGAGGGTGACTTGGGCTAAAATCAATAAACAGCTTCTGAACAAAGAGAAAAATCTATGACACTGTGAAGAAAATATGGTCTAATAAAAAACAATAAAAACAAACAAAACATTTAAAAAAGAGAGAAAATATGGTCTAGAGATTAATTTAAAGAACAACAGTATCTAGATATAGTGCTGCGACCACAACAAGATTCTGAGGCCTAGGGTGAACCCAGCTGACCAGAGCCTTCTGGGCATCTTTCTTGAAGGAATTGTGACCACAATGTAGAATAAGAGCCTAAGACCAGAGCATTGTACCCTGTACCATATCTCAAATGCTTTCTGTCACTCTGGTTGATGAAGTATTCAGAATTGGAAGTGTTGAGATATTAATAGTACAGGTCACTATTGTGGGGATAATCAGACATGCAGAGAAGGCTCCAACCATTATTTACAAAATAGATGACATGACAGCTGCACCCATGAATGTTTGCAAATGTGTTGACATAGATGATGCCAGTGGTGAAAACACTGTGGTCCCTTCAGAAATGTATGTGAAAATAGCTAGCTATCTGAGATCTTTTCAGAAAAAAAAAGAAGTCTGGTGGCCTTTAAGATCATACCCCTGGAGGATATGAATGAGTTCACCGCACATATTCTGAAAGTAGTGAATGCACACATGATGTTGACCAAAGCTAACAGCCAGCCCTCAGCAGGGAGAGCGCCTATCAGCAATCCAGAAATGGGTGAAGCAGGGAACTTTGGTGGAATAGCCTCACTTTGGCAAATGGCCTCATTGTGGTCCAAAACCAGGTGCTAAATTTGATTAAGGCTTGTCCAAGACCTGAAGGACTGAACTTTCATGACCTCAAGAACCAGCTTCAACACATGCCTATAGCCTCAAGTAAGCAAGCTGTGGATTTTCTAAGCAAAGAGGGACTTAAATATTCCACTGTAGATGATGGTCATTTTAAATCCACAAATGCAGAATAACTGGACTTAATTGATACCCAACATATTTTTCAGCTGGACCTATTTTCTCAATCTGTTATATCCAGCTGTGTACATGTTTTGAATAATTGACTTCTAGAAAGTAGGTTTAATCTATAAAATATCTCATTTGACATTATTTTGAAAGTTTCTGCTCTTCTATTTTTGTTTGTTTGTTTGTTTGTTTGTTTGTTTTTTAAGCTCAAAGGGAAATAGGCAACTAACAGTAATGTGAGCCAAAGTGAAACTTCTTAAAAAAGTTACAAATTAGGTAGTTATAACATCTGGGCAGATGGAAGTAGAAGAGGGATACTGCCAAGAGTTGGGTGGTATCCTACATAATAAAAGTTTAATATGCTAAGTTTCCAGTCATCTGGTCAGCCATTTAACCAATCAAAGCATAATATGCTTATGATATGCTAAGGCTGCTCAACCATTTGATATTATGTGCACTAACCTAGGGGGCAGATGCTCTGACCAGTAAGTGATCCTGCTGTTGGGGTCTGGCCAATCTGGACTGAGCGAGATGGGCCGGATATGCCCTGGAGCCCTCCCTGGCTGTACCTCCCTGGCTGGCCAACATCCCACATCCCTCCCTGGTCCCTATCATGCACTGGTGAGGTCCCTCAGCCTGGCCTGCACCCTCTCACAATCCAGGACCCCTCCAGGGGATGTTGGAGAGCCAGTTTTGACCTGATCCCACAGGCCAGACCGAGGGACCCCACTGGTGCATGGATTTGTACACCAGGCCTCTATTTACTTAAATAATACTCAGGAGTCTCTATTTTTAAAATATTGCCCGTTGATGAGTACAACTAGGACCTGTCAGAAGAGAGCTAGCCAAGAAACCTGCTAACTTCTGCCTGGTTTTGTTCCCCATTTTGGTTATGTGTTATTACTTCCAGAATTGCACTTTTCTTCAACTTGTCATGACTGCTGCTGAGTGTTTTGTTAAGCATGAGGTTCTAGAGTGCTGGCCCCGTGTGGCAGAGGAAAGAAATGTCACCGTGTTTTATACAAAATAAGTACATTCATATGTTGAATAAAATAGATTATTGTAGTAACAACAACAACAAACAAAAACAAAAACACACAACAGTGTTTCTAGGAATTTTAAAGTGATTGAAAAACTGGAAAAACAAAGACCTCACCTCCAGTGTGACCTTTTCTCCCCTAGCATATCACTGGTCATGAGGTTTAAAACCTTGTCATTTCATATAGATGGTCATGAAGCTCAGATATTCCCCTGATCATTTCTCCCCTGGCATGTTACTAGTCATGCAGTAGGAGGAACATGGAGCTGAAGAGTGGCTTCATGAGAATACCATACAATCCCTTACAGGACCACTCCCTTAAGCAATAACCTCTAAGGTTAATATCTAGGCCTCAGTTGTGTTTCATCTCCAGGCCCAGAAATGCTGCAAAACCAGAAAAGCCATGCCATGGCTGACATCAGGACCAACTGCATTGACTAATGACTACTTGCCTTGACATCAGTCAATCAGTAGAGACCATGACCCTTAAAGGAAGCACCTGGAAAACTGATGCATATTCTATTGAAATGCTCCTCTGGGACCTCCTCTAAAATTCCCACTTTTAAAAGCATTTAGGACACAGGACCCAACATGCATTTCCCCACCCCCTTTCCCCCACGCATGTATTCCTAGCCTCTCTTTTTCTCCTAAGTTCCAAGAGCCCTTATTTTGACTTTAGCTTTTTCATGAGTCCATTTCATGTGGCTCACTTCTACCTCTGTGACTTTCTGTAAAAATTTCCTCTTATAGTTGGAAAATAAAAAAAATATATTTTCTCAAATATTCCATTAAAACTCTAAATTTATAGAAGTGCTTATCTCAGAAAGGTTTGTGGGTGTGGTATTTGTCAAATAGAGTGAGCTTCACTGGAAGACCACAAAAGTTTTGAAAAAATTATTTGAGGAGAAACACTGTCAACTTGGACTGAAATGGACAGATAGTATATAATGGAAAGAGGCCATTAAAATTCCCCAGTTCTATTGGGGATAAGTAGGCTTAGAAAAACACCTGGTGAGTTTCAAATTAATGTATTGAGATAATGGTTCAGAGAATGGCAGGTTTTCACTTATTTTTATGTTCCACCTTTTATGAGAAAAGAAATACGGCAAACCCAAATTTTAACAAATGCTGTTCCTTCTGCCTAAAATTCTTCTTGTACTTTTCTAGTAGTTTAACTCCTGTTCATCTCTCAAGACCCTTATATCCCTTCTTCCTGCTACTCATCGTACTCAACTACAAACCTTGTTTTTGTTATTTTGCTTCTCCACTAAATTATGTATTCCTTGAAATCAGGTGTCATGCCATTTATCTTTAAATCAGCAGTGTGCAGTGCAATGCCTGGCACAAACTAGACAGATGCTCAATAAATATTTTAATGAAGAACTGACCTTGTCTCTAATCATATGTACCCTCTTCAAGGGTTTATTATTTTTTCTGCTTTCTTGTTTAACTTTTTCTATGACATTGTAATTATTTCCTTTACATTCCCATAGACTAGATCAGTGTTTCCCAAACTTTTGACATATGTGTAACCCTTCTATAATTTTCATAATACTGAATACCCCTCGTACTCATGATTATGTAGAATTAGGTGCAGCTAAGCACAGTGCAGTGCATATCCTCACCAAACTCCGGTGCAACGAGTACCCCCACCAAACTCTTCCCGTACCCCTGGGGGTACGTGTACCACACTTTGGGAAACACTGGACTACCGGTAGATTATGAGCTTCCCAAGTACTGAATTTGGGCATAGTCAAACATTGCAGTGCTTACATCTTTAAGAACTGTGACTTAATAGACAACAACAAAACTATACTGATTGATAGAATAAAGGAAGCAATGAATACCTGTTGAACACTGGCCTGAAGGAGATCGCCAAGACGCTCAACCAGGTCAGAGAAGTTGGGTCTCAGGGTGCACACACTGTGCCAGCAGTCAAGCATAGTCTGGTAGCTGAAAATGGGAAAAAAGCCAAGAAAGTCTCCATTTTCTCATTCCCATTGCTTTTCTAACTTTAACAATCAGTGACACCTCAGATCACATTTTTGCAATTATTTTCAAGCCATTTTCTCTGCTATGGACTTAGAATGAGTTTTTTAAAAATTTATTTATTGATTAAGGTATCACATATTTGTCCTCAACCCCCCATTCCAATCCCCCGCCCCCCCCCATTCATGCTCCCACCCCCCCTATTGTCCTTGACCACTGGTTAGGCTCATATGTATGCACATAAGTCCTTTGGTTGATCTCTCCCTTTTATCCCCACCCTCCCTTTGAGGTCCAACAGTCTGACCCATGGCTCCTTATCTCTGCCTTCACCATACCTGTCCATTACTCTTATGTCATCTTCATACCCACATGTTTCAGGTCTGTATGCATAGAAGTACACACATCATTAGCGATAATTAGACCACTTCTAAGGCCAAATATTTAGAAAACCTTAACTTAAAAAGAGCAACCTAGCATTTACATTTGTTGCCAAACTCCTTTAGCAGTACAAGAATGATGTGAATGGGGACACAACTGCTTTGGTCCTGAGGCCATCTGGCTTCAAATATTCTTGAACTTTGGGTCCTCCTCATGATCTAGAAACTTGTATAATTGGACTTTTATCTCCAAATATCTTTACAAATCTTTGAAAAATGGTTTAAAAATGCAATCATTTTTAGATTTTAAGTTGTAACACTGCATTCCCAGCCTGTATTTTCCAATGACTAGCAAATAAGTCATCAGTGAAGTAGTAAATGCAGTTTCATGCTGAAATTGCTTTTTATTAAAACAACTAGTGACCTGGTGCACGAAATTCATGCACATTAAAAGGGAATTAGTTAAAGGAAATATTTTAATATTGTTATTTGCCCTTTCTCTCTAATAGAAGTCTCAGATATTAAAGAAAATTAGAAAAAGGTATATGAAAATCTCCCTCCTGTCAGAGCCTGAGGCATGCTATGGGAACCAGAGTCAATCCCCACCCACCCACATGTGCCTTGAAATTGCTCAAGACCTAGACCCAGCCAGCTTCACCCCCACTAGGCTAGATCCATTCATATATTTTTTACTATATTTCCCTTACCTTTGGGGTCAAATTAATAAAATATTACGTATGAACAAGGTCCATAAATTCAGTATCAGTGTTTTTTTCAGTGTAATTTATTGTTTTAAGTAATGTATTTAGGTCTTTGATACATTTTTTTTCATTTTTATTAAGGTATTATATGTGTATATATCTTACCATTGCCCCCTCTACTCTACTCCCATACATGCCCTTAATCCCCAGTGTCTTGTGTCCATTGATTATGCTCATATGCATGAACACAATTCTTTCGGTTGATCTCTTATCTCCCCCACCTCTCCCTAACCTTCCCACTGTAATTTGACAGAATGTTTGATGCTTTACTGTCTCTGTATCTATCTTTTTGTTCTACGGTTTATAATTTTCTTTATTATCCATAAATGAGTGAGATTATGTGGTATTTTTTTTTTCATTGACTGGTTTATTTCACTTAGCATGATGTTCTCCAATTCCATCCAGGTTGCAGCAAATGGTAAGAATTCCTTCTTTTTTATGGCAGCACAGTATTCCATTGTGTAAGTGTACCATAGTTTTCTGATCCAGTCATCTGCTGACAGGAACCTAGGCTGTTTCCAAATCTTAACTATCATAAATTGTGCTGCTATGAACATAGGGGTGCATATATCATTTCTTATTAGTATTTTCAGTTTCTTAGGATATATTCCTAGGAGTGGGATTACTGGGTCAAATGGGAGTTCCATTTTCATTTTTTGGAGGAAACTCCATACTGTTCTCCTCAGTGGCTGCACCAGTCTACATTCCCACCAGCAGTGCACAAGTGTTCCTTTTTCTTCCCATCCTTGCCAACACTTGTCGTTTGTTGATTTGTTGATGATAGCCATTTTGGCGGGGTGTGAGATGGTACCGCATTGTCGTTTTGATTTGCATCTCTCAGATAATTAGTGATTTTGAGCATGTTTTCATGTGTCTCTTGGCCTTCCTTCTGTCTTCTTTGGAAAAGATTCTATTTAGGTCCATTGCCCATTTCTTTATTGGATCATTTATTTTTCTTTTATTAAGTTGTATAAGTTGTCTGTAGATGTTGGAGATAAACCTTTATCAGTAATAACATTTGCAAACATTTTCTCCCATACAGTAGGATTTCTTATTGTTTTGTTGATATTTTCTTTTGCTGTGAAAAAGCTTTTTATTTTGATGTAATCCCATTTGTTTATTTCCTCTTTAGCTTCCTTTACCCTAGGGTCAGTATCAGTGAAGAAGTTCTTTCGGCATGTGTCTGAGATTTTGCTGCCTGTGGATTCCTGTAGTATTTTTATGGTTTCCCGTCTTATGTTTAAGTCCTGTAACCATTTTGAGTTTATTTTTGTGTATGATGTAAGTTGGTGATCTAGTTTCATTCTTTTGCATGTATCTGTCCAATTTTCCCAACACCATTTATTGAAGAGACTGTTTTGACTCCATTGTATGTTCATGCCCCCTTTGTCAAATATTAATTGAGCATAGAGATTTGGGTTAATATCTGGGTTCTCGATTCTATTCCATTGATCTATATGTCTGTTCTTGTGCCAGTACCATGCTGTTTTGAGAACAGTTGCTTTGTAATACAGCTTAAAATCTGGTATTGAGATCCCTCCAACTTTGTTCTTCTTTCTCAGGATTGCTGTGGCTATTCAGGGTCTTTTTTTATTCCAGATGAATTTTTGTAGAGTTCTTTCTAGGTCTATGAAATATGCCATTGGTATTTTAATGGGGAGTGCATTAAATCTATCGATTGCTTTGGGTAGTATGGAAATTTTAATGACGTTGATTCTTCCAATCCATGAACATGATATGTTCTTACATCTGTTTAAGTCTTCCTCTATCTCTTTTTTCAGTGTCGTGTAGTTTTCTGCATATAGGTCTTTTACCTCCTTAGTTAAGTTTATTCCTAGGTACCTTAATTTTTTTGGTGTGATGGTAAATGGGATTGCTTTTTTAATCTCTCTTTCTGTACGTTCACAATTGGTGTATAGAAAGGCCATAGGTTTCTTGGTGTTAATTTTGTATCTTTGCTGAATTCATTTATTAAGTCTATTAATTTTTTTATAGATCTTTTGGGTTTGTTTTTTTTTTGTACAATATCATGTCATCTGCAAATAAGGACAATTTTACTTCTTCTTTTCCAATTTGGATGCCTTTTATTTCTTCTTGTCTAATTGCAATGAATAATATTTTCAGTACTATGTCAAACAGGAGTGGTTACATTGGACATCCCTGTCTTGTTCCTGTGCTTAGGAGAAATGGTTTTAGTTTTTGCCCATTCAATATGATGTTTGCTGTGGGTTTATCATATATAGCTTTTATTATGTTGAGGTATGATCCTTATACTCCCACCTTGTGGAGAGTTTTGTTTTTTTTGTTTTATCAAGAAAGGGTGTTAGATTTTGTCAGATGCTTTTTCTGCATCAATTGATATGACTATGTGATTTTTATCTCTCAGTTTGTTTATGTAATTGATGTATCATTTTTATTGATTTGCAGATATTGTACCTTCCTTGCATTTTTGGGATAAATCCTACTTGGTCTTGGTGTATGATCTTTCTGATGTATAGCTGGAGTTGATTTGCTAGAATTTTGTTGAGGATTTTGGCATCTAGGTTCATGAGGGATATTGGCCTGTAGTTCTCTTTCATTGTGTTGTCTTTATCTGGTTTTGGTATTAGGGTAATGTTGGCTTCATAGAAGGAGCTTGGGAAGTGTTCCTTCCTCTTGAATTTTTTGGAATAGTCTGAGGAGGATAGGTTTTAGTTCTTCCTTGAATGTTTGCTAAAACTCTCCTGTGAAGCCATCTGGCCCAGGGCTTTTGTTTGCCAGAAGCTTTTTGATTATTGCTTCAATTTCTTCCATAGCTACTGGCCTATTGAGAAGTTTGGATTCATCCTGATTGAGTTTTGGAAGGTTATATTTTTCCAGGATTCTGTCCATTTCCTCCAGGTTGTCCAGTTTGTTGTAATAGAGTTGTTCATAGTATTTTGTAATAGTCTTTGTATTTCAGTAGGGTCTGTTCTGATTTTATATCTTTCATTTCTGATTTTGTTTATTTGGGTCCTCTTTCTTTGCTTCTTGGTGAGCCTGGCTAGAGTTTCATGAATCTTGTTTATTCTTTCAAAGAACCAGCTCTTGGTTTTGTTGATCTTTTCTATTGTTTCTTTAGTCTCTACGTTGTTTATCTCTGCTCTGCTATTTATTTTTTCCTTCCTTCTGCTTACACTGGGATTTTCTTGTTGCTCTCTTTCTAAGTCTTTGAGTTATAGGGTTAGATAATTTATTACCATTTTTTCTTGTTTTTTTGCAGTATGCTTGTAAGCTATGTACTTCCCTCTCAAGACTGCTTTTGCTGTGTCCAAACAAATTGTCATTTGTTTCCTTGATGTTTTTTATTTCTACCTTGATCTCTTTGGTAACCCAGGCATTGTTGTATAGCATGCTGTTTAGTCTCCATGTGTTTGATTTCTTTGGATTGTTTTTATTGTAGTTGATTTCTAGTTTTATACCACTGTGATCTGAGAAGATGATTGATATGATTCCTATCTTCTTGAATTTCAAGAGACTTTGCCTATGTTCCAACATATGATCTGTCTTTAAAAATGACCCATGTGCACTTGAGAAGAATGCATATTCTGTGGCTTTGGTGTGAAATGTTCTGAAGATGTCAATTAATTCCATCTGATCTAGTGAGTCATTTAGGATTGCTGTTCCTTTGCTGATTTTTTGTTTAGAGGATTTGTCCAATGGTGGTAGTGGGGTATTAAAATCTCCTACTATGATTTTATTGCTGTTAATCTCTCACTTGATATCATCAGGAGTTTTTTTTTTTTCTGAGGTGTGTTTCTTGTAGACAGCAGATATATGGGTCTTTTTTTTCTTATACAGTCTGTTA